CCATGATTTGATTTCTCATCAAACAGTAGTAGTTTATTACAGGTAAAAATAACTTACTCTTTGTTATGACCGGTTCGTAGGCCACAACGGAAAGACAAGGAGACATACACGAGTTTACAAAACCACGGCACATTTATTGTGGTAAATGCAGAGATAGGTGGTCGAGGGGAGAGAATCGCCGAGCCGCTTTGGAGAGAGACGGGCCGCTGGGCTTAATAGCACCTCGGCTACGGAGGTGTCCGTGATCGCGCTGATTAGCCTCTTCAGCTCCACCCCACCGTAAGACCTGCAACACACCTGCACAAAGGCCCTGGGGCCGTCACACTCTTCTATAACAACAGTTGTAGGTACAGTTCGGTTAGTTAGCGTATAAAATATACGGCTGTACCGACGCCATTATAAGACTGATGTTCCCCGAAAAAAGCGGGCGGAGCCTCTCTGGTGGTTGACTAATCAGAACAGAGTGGCCGAGCTGACCAATCGGAGCACACTAGGCTCACAGGGAGGGGGGGCAAGAGCTCCAACGAGTCGTTTAGTGGAGAGAGTGAATACTGCTGAATACACATACTTGACAGAGATGCTGTATGCGAAACCAATGTGAGTTTGGAAAATTGCACAGTATAAATCTATTTTAGTATACCTCAACAATGTAATTATGATCAGTGGAAATGGCCATGACATGGGCCCTTTAAAGTAGACCTATCATGCTATATTTGAAAAATATATTGTAGGGCCATACCTATATAAAACATGTCTGTGACGTTTTTTTTTCAAAATACCAAACAGATCATGCATTTTAGCCATGCCTCATTTTGCTCTATTTGCTCTATTCCAGCCCTGTTTTTGCAAGGGCTGATTCTGTGACGTAGCTTTAATGCAAATTAGCTGCAGCTGACCACGCCACCCTGCAGGAGAGGGGGTCGTGCTCAGAGATCAGCTGCTGGGCTCTCAGAAGAGGGGGAGGAAAAGAGAGGCTCCGTTTTTTATTATTATATTATTATATAGAGTCGTTATTCATTTGTTTTAAAGCTCAATAAATAACAAAGAAGACCTCTGACCAGCACTTTTCTAATTTTGTCCGGAAGATTTAAACTTTAACGGACATGTTGACCGGCGAAAAAAAATCGAACTGAAACTCTGCCGCACGGTCCCCTCGTCCCTTGGAAGAGGCGGAGAGGTGGGTGTTTTTCATCTGCTGGTGGACTAACCGGAGAGAATTACAGCAGCAGGAGCAAACGCTTGCCTCGGGGAGGGAGAAAAAGAGCCAGAGCGTCCACAGCGGAGAATAAACAGAAGGGCAACCATGCGCGGGAAGTCTTCTTCGCTGATTTTGTGGTAGGAGTACAGTGCCACTTACAGGCCTGGCATATGTACTACAGCGTCTCCAGCGCTTTCGAGCGGTCTCGTGGGAACGGACACGTTTCTGGTGCGTGTTGCGTGTGGACGGAAGACTTTTTTGATAACGATTGCGGTCCCTTTGCAGGTGGAGCGTTGCCCATGTAGGCGGAGCATCACCGCCCACTATTCCGGGCTGACGTCAGCTCGGATGGAAATCTGTATCCGCCCGTTTTTAAAAGATTTGGGTACGGAGGAAAAGAGAGAGGGTTTTATTTTCTGACGCTGCGTGAGTTCCCCGATGCACCGGGGACACATATTTATGTATAAAAGACATCACAAAGTGCATTTTGCATGATAGGTCCCCTTTAAATAAGACTTTAGTAACATTCACAAATCACAACCCTTTTGTTACTGAGTGTGTGAGCTGGTGGTGGTCCTAACAACCAACTTTATAGGGTGTTAGTGTTTCGTTTACAGCTTGTTTCTGTTGCCATGTGACCAGTGAATATGTTAATGCCTGTTGAAAGACAGAAATGCAGAAAAGAAAAACAATGACTTAGTAAATTAAAGGTCACACTATTACCAAGAATGATGGCCTGTCTCACAGATTAATGAACTACAGACATGTTATCTGTACATGTTTAATATTAGAAGGAGGAATGTTATTTTATGGCACTAATCGACTCTGAGGCACAAGGCTCTGTAGTTCACATCATTCCAATTGGAAACATATTCATTTTTCAGCTATAAACATTAAATCTCTCAACAGCCTGTGTGTTGATATAAACAGTATAAATGAGCTGCTATTGAATTACACGGGGGAATGAATAGGTGAGTGTGTTCCATATGGTCTACCCTTCTGGTTAGCACTGCTTTAATTTGCTTTATGCAGTGTAAGTAAATGACATTTCAACAGGTTAATTGCTCCTGATATATCACAGGACAGTTTGCACCGGACAGGGTCAATTACAAGTGTGTGTGTGCGTGTGTGTGTGTGTGTGTGTGTGTGTGTGTGTGTGTGTGTGTGTGTGTGTGTGTGTGTGTGTGTGTGTGTGTGTGTGTGTGTGTGTGTGTGTGTGTGTGTGTGTGTGTGTGTGTGTGTGTGTGTGTGTGTGTGTGTGTGTGTGTGTGTTGACTGCTGAAGCAGCAGGTTTCCCGTCACATGCTGGTGCTGATGACCTACCTCAGTGGCGTCATGATCTGGAAACATTGTCTCTTTTACTGTCTTCATAAAACAGTTGGAACAGTAGTTAAATGACACAGGTGAGTCTGTTTCTTATATTTTTTCTCAGGGCTTGGCAGTGTTAAGGTCTGGTTGTCTGCGGACACTCTTGTGAAAGTGAACTTGAATCATTAAATGCAGTCAAGATAAGATGTGAGTCAACTTCACATCTAAAGGAGTATATTCTGAATCATTTACAGACATGTCTTTCCCCTCTCAGGTTTAGACCTGGTATAAAAAGGGTCGTATAGAGGCGTCATTTGACAGGGTGTTTTCTAAAATTATTTAAGGTAACATATACTGGCTCTAACCCTGTCACTTGTTTTTTCGGTTCTCTATAATATTCTGTTGCTTACCAATCTGATCAAAAACATTATAATGAAACTATCCCCAACATAACATTTTCTTATGTATTCACCATCGTTTTCATTGTATTTAATTCTTCTGTTATCTGTAAACGATACTTTGTTTTCATTGCTGTACCGGTCGCAATTGCTATGTACAGTATAATCTTTTCACTTTGAAAACTCTTCCCATTACAACCCTTTTTAATAATACACTTTAATATTTACTGCAACTGTCATGTGAAAAAGATAAAACATCATGAGGGATGTTTATAGATTCTAGTGGGCGAACAAAACAAACATAAAGCTAATTTAAAGAAATCTAACTTGCTCAACAGTGTTTTAACATTTAAAATATCTGCAGCCTCTAGGCCCGAGTAAACAAAAATACAACGTCTTTCTAGTTCAATCTTGATAGTTCCCTGAGGAGTTTTTTTCCCCGTATTGTTTATATAACACCATGCATGCTTGTATTAGAATTATTTTTGGCTATTTCAGCAGTAGTAAAATTAGGTCTATATATATAGTTCTGTGAGTCAGAGGTTTATTTGATCTGTTTATAAAAAAATACACAACTTAACCCCTCACCTTTAAACTCAGTTTCCTCTCTCACACAATGTTCATCAGCATTTTGAAGGCCTCAGCAGCTGTGTCATAAAACTGTTGTTGTGAAGCAGCGGCAGATTAAGCAAAGTCATTGGTTTTTCCATTTGTATCACTAAGAATTTGCAGTTTGAAATAAACGAGTCAACATTATAATTCAGTTTAAAACCTGTAACGGTCAGTGTGTGTGAGGAACAAAACCATAACATTTTCCTCTTTAAGTGTCATCCATAGTCCATTGAGAACAGTGTGTCTGTGAAAGTGAGATAATTATTTGTAAACTCTGCCCTCTTGTGGATAGTATTTATTCTGCAGCTAGAGGAAGTGATTCCTCTACACAAATACTGAAACCAGCCTCACATATTGGGTGTGTAGGTGAGAAAGTCTTCAGATTAAAGGCAGTTAGTGACATTTACCTTTCCCATTCTTACATCTTAACTGACCATAATGTTAAGTGGATGGGAAACAGACGGGGGGAAGAGGCAATGAAGAAAAAGTGCCTCTTAAGGCCAAGGTCTGTATGAGAAAGTCAAACAGCCTTTCTGTCATAACATTGTCAGCCAGCCGGCCCTCAGCAGCCAGTGTGTGATCAGGCCACGGGTGACCGAGCACACTGAAGTCTAATGGTGTAATGATGGGATGTCAACGGAGAGGCTGAGGAGAAGCTTGTGGGAATAAATGGACAGGAGACGGCTTGTTTACACAGAGAACATAAACTCATTATTGCTTTACAGCCAAAGGTAACGGGAACACCTGCTGAATAAGAGGAGCTTTTATTGTTAACTAGACAGCATTTTAACTGCTGCAGTCTTCCTGGAGCTATGGGGCCTGGACGCAAAACAGTTTAGTAAAAGGTTTATCTCCCACATCAATTATGCTCAAATGTATGGTCGGTTGTTGAAAAGAAAAGCACTCCTTGGCTGTAAGTTTGGTGTTTAAATTTCCTTGTGCACGTTATACGTTTTACATTTATAATATGAAATAATCTTTTAATTCAGTTTTGTTCATGCCTCCTGTAGCGCAGCCCCAATGCAGACATTTGAAAACGAAATAAAAGTGGTCTAATGAACTACATTTAAAAAATACCCAGAAAGTAAGTATATCCACCTTATCTGGTTATTTTGAACTTCAAGGATCAAACTTTTTTTTATCACCATGTTTTTTTTAACGCTCACCTTGAAACTGAAATCCCCTCAGTCTGGCAACCATCCACGACCTGGAGTTTTAAGCTTGGTGTGATGTCTGACCTGGTGTGGGAATTGCGACACCTTCTTTGCATTAAAACCCAGGTGAGAACTGGCAGCTAGCTATATAAAGACCCCCTCCGTCCCACTGACCAAAGCACTGACTGCAAGGTTACCATTTGGAACCTTGGACCAAAACCACAGACAAATCATTTTAAGCTTCATTTTTGGTAACTTTTCTGTAACTCGTTTTTTTTAAACAAATTGCAACATTTTTATTTTGCAATCCATCTATTTTTCCGTAAAAAAATGGCTTTTTCTATTAGCCTTGTCTTTTTGTCAAGCTGGACAGCTGTAGCTCTTACATTCCCTCACAATGCTTTTGACAACATTATTAAAGGGTCAAGAGTCGAATTTGAATCATCTGGCAGCGGACCGAGTGAACCTGTCCGGGGAATAGTGAGGGTTGTGCAGCTGGACCCTCGTACCCTGGCCCAGTCAGGGTTCCTGAGAGCGGGGCTCACATCCAGAAGAGTCCCTTCCCTCAACTCCAGGCTCTCCTTCCCTGCTTTCCTGTCTCACGGGCGTCCAGGGCTGGCCCCGGCTTCCAAGACCTCAATGAGTCCGTTACACCTCCTGCAACCTAAAGGCCACACTCAGATGGAACTGAAGAAGAGACAAGGCCTGCAGATGTGGCAGAGAGCCGTCCATAAAGGAGACAAGATAACTCTGCCAGTCAACCTGAAGGACACCAAACAGACATGCACTGCAGTCCCTTTCACTCAGGTAAGATGTCAAGGCTTTTATTGTCATTCGTACATAGCTACAGTGTAGTTATGTCAATTAAATTCTTAGGTCACAGGCTCCTCCAACAGTGCAACACAATAAAACAGATAAAATAGTGCAAGTAAATACAATACAAGAGGTTTTTATATCATGTCTTACACCAGGATTTTATTTCCTTTATCTACCTAATAGATGTCAGTGCCAGTGTCAGTTCCAGATAAAGAACATTATCACACAGTTGAATAGAATATAGCTTTGTTATGAAGTGTTTATTTTTCAGTGGCAATGAGAGAGATGTCTGTTTACTCATAAAGCTGATTATGGCTCTGGTGGAGGATTAGCTGTAATAGTGTGGAGCTACATAAACAAATATTGTTGATTTTTACAACCTCAGAGGTAAATTAACTCAATATTGCCTAATCTTACCGCTCTCTGTCATCCTCCCAGCGTGTGACGGCAGACGAATGCGACACGGTGACGGTGCACAACAGGCTGTGTTTCGGCCAGTGCAGCTCGCTGTTCGTCCCATCCGTCGGGGAGTTTTCCGGGCTGGGAACTGTGACAGGGGCCCTCCACCACCGGGCCCCCTGCTCCCGCTGCTCCCCGTCCAAAGTTCATAATGTGGCTGTGCCCCTGCGCTGTGGAGCCCAGGTCCGGCTGAAGCAGGTGATGGTGGTGGAGGAGTGCAAGTGTGAGACGGGTCGAGAGGAAAAAAGTGCTGAGGCTTCAGCTCTCGCACATCTTTAACTGCAATGCTGCTGTTAAAATCAGGGGATAGAGGGGAAGGTAAAGATTCTCATTTGGATTGACACCTTTTTCTCCATCCAATCACTGCTAAGACATGGACACTATTCTTTCTAATATATGGGATAAATGTTTAGACAGTTGTAATGATTATTTACATATGTGTATGTGTTTGTTAATGAGTCTGAATGTGTTATTCAGATACAAATATTCTGGTGTTTATTCCACCACTGATAGATGACAAAGTGACCTATATTTTGGTCATGCAATTTTCTGTTGCAACAGATGGAGCTGTCCACACTGGACTTGTGTTACTGTTCAAACCGTGTTTAGATTAATCTAAACTGAAATATTGTGATCTGTATAATATTGTCATTAAAATGTCCTATTTGTCCACATTCCCTTTGCCTGGCAATGCTAATTAGCTTTTCACCAACACTAGTTACATTTATAAGTGCTATTTAGTTTGCATGCAAAGCTCGAGTAAAAACATGAAGAGCATTTGTTTTGTTTTTTCCACTCACTCTTGTATTCAAGTGCTCAAGTATCAGCTCCTATATTTTATTAAAAAGCCTTGTTCCACCGACTTTTAGCACATAGCACTTACATCTGAAAGCACCAAACTAGAGAGCAAACGAGCTATTGAGCACGGGTACTTAGCAGTAAGCAAACATAATTGTTTCAGCATGGACCCCTGAATTATGTATAGGAACCACCTATTCTCATGCCCAATCTCTTTTCAGCGTAGTTGTGGGAATTTGAACATCATTCACCACAGATGCACTTCAGCGAGTAGGCATGTGTGATTATGTGCGTATGTGCTTTTTTTTTCAGTTAGGGCCCATAAAACCTATTATTCATTTATATCCTGGCACCTGGGCCTGGTAAAGTGAACTCATCCCACACATCCCTACATACATTCCCAGAGGAGCATAAAGAAGGGGGCTCTTTACCATGCCTTGGCATGTTGTCAAAATGACTGTTTAGATGGCCATTTGCATTCACGTGGGCTTTCTGAAAAAGTGAAAGCGTTCATTGCACTACGGGGGTGCATTGAGTCCCTTGGATTCCATTAGCATGTGATTAACATCTTGGGTTGATGGCTATATTTTCCAAGATTGATGGGACAAATATTTGCCCAGGTCTTAACTATGAAGAATTAGGGGCCACTTTTAATCAGGCACTTGTCTTTATCGAAATATGCATGGTGGAGGTTGTGAGGCTCATACATCCATCTTGACGATGATGAAATTCAGCTTCATCAACTCTCATTCCTCATAGTATTTAAGGTTGTGAAGTCTGAGTGAATTTGTATACATTTCGGCCATTATACAATACCGCACTTAATATTTATAATAGGCTAATATACACTTCACTTTTGTGTGTGTGTCGGCGCTCTGTCCTGAATCATGATCTCGCTATCTATTCTTCCCGAACTCTATACCACTCATCTTTAAATCTTTTGTCAATTTTTATTAAAGAAAAAACACAACAAAAAACAAAGGAGATAAATAAGAAAATGGGCATAGTGATGGGAGGGGAAGAAGAAGGGGGGGGGTTGTTGATTGAACAAACAAGGTGCACAAGAGAGTGCACCACTTAGCAAGACAGATGTCAGCCCCCTTTGCATTGTGGGATCCGGCGGAGCACTCCTGCGTCATTAAGGATGGCCTGGTTCCCATGGCGAGAGGAAAGGAAGGAGCGAAAGGAGGAGGGCCCGCTGCCAAGTTCAGCGCCTCGGGGATCAGATCAGCGTCACGGGGTGCTAAGTGGCCTAGTTAGCGCTTTAAAACGCACAATGAGCTGCCTGCTCTTTCTCTCTGTGTGTAGGCCTTTTAACTGTCAGACATGGAAATGGTTGGGAGGTGTGTGAGATGGGGGGGGCTCAAACTATATCAGTTCAATCAAGGTGTATCAAAGGGAAAGTGAATTATAGATGGAGAATTTGAGACCTGCACGTTTACATCAAAGTTTTACTTTGAAATCTTTTTTTCTAGACTGCGGATACAGTTAATTAACCGTGAGGTGTGGTTATTTTGGGGTTTCGGTAATTGGCTTAAAAAACAAATATTCCCAGGTTACACTTTGATGCCATACATCTTATACCACTTATAGTTTTTCTGGTTGTCCTTCTGTATGTAAAAGCTGTGCGTATACCAAATGGTGCTAAGCTAACTAGCTGAATAGATCAGGGAGAGAAAGGTCCACCAGGTTTCCCCGGCTGTGTGGGGCTGTTCTATTTTGTGCTTCTCCACCATGTTAGATCGAACCAGACTGGACTACGGATCAGGCTCATAGATCTGGCATCAGCAAGTGAGAGCGAACAGGGGTCCATCATGCACTCCCAGGAGCGAAATTGGGATGGTGATAGGCCTGTTAAGTCATAGACCAGACAGAGTCCCCTCACCTAAATCCCCCTCGTGCAGGTTTAGTGCTGTAGGTGTGGGCCCTAGGTGTGATGGTGTCTCGACCACAGCTAACATCTCCCGCCCCACTGATACGCTGTTACATGCTCACTCTGTGGTGTTAGTCTGGACCAGCTGGTCAGAGTTGGCTCTGCAGGAGATGGGGCCCCGGGCTCAGCCTGCCAGCCTTCTGCCTGGCTGCCAGCCCGCCTGCCAGGCTGTGTGCTGGGTGTGAGCAGGACAGAGGAAGGTGTAGCCTGCGGATGTGGACAACATCAAAGTGTGTCATTGGATACACATCCTACAGTGGTTTATGTGGTATACTACTAACCCTGCTCAAAGTTACGCAACTAATGTTTAGGATACAAATGTTGTATGTCTTAAGGCTTTCTTAACACAATAGTCAGGTCCTTATATTGAGCTTTCAGCATTCATTCTTTCTGTTCAGACTGGCGATTATGAGTTCTTTTTTTATTGAAAAAATACCATGCAAATCTTTTTAAAAGGAAGTTTGTATTTTAAGCTTTCGAAGTTGCCCACTTGATATCATTTTCAATAAAATCATATTGGACCGGAACCTGTTAATGGACAGTATGAACAGGAAAACTGATTAAAGAAAGCAAAACAGTTTTAGAGTATCTTTAAAAACGGCTTAAAAATAAATGAAAACCTCAAATGTATATATATATATATATTTATTTCTCTTTTTTACTATAAGTATTATACATTTTTACCTTTTGAATATGCTTTGAGAAATAATACATCAGATGTTTGATTAAATGTTCTGGTTCAGTTCTTTCTAATATATGGTAATTAACTCTATTGTTCTATATCCAGCAAAGACTAAAAGAGTGGTATTTTGCTAAATATATAAGAATGTAATCAATAAACCTAATTAAAAAAAATCAATTTAACTGTAATGTATAAAGTATATATTATTTTGGTTGATATATAATCATACTTGAATTTGCTTCTGTAAGTCAAGTAGTTGAGAAAGACAGACCTTTTATCGCGAACACCTACTTGCAGATAACACATTTGAATATTAACGCAGTTGTGTGTTTGTTTGCGTTGTGTGTCTGACTGTGCTCGTGCTGATTGAAGCCTCAGTGTGGCAGCATTATGGTTGAGTGTTGAGCTGTCAATCAACCCTCTGCTGGAGTGTGATGATGATCGCAATGTCGCTGTGGCAGGTGCGGTCCTGCATGCCATGCAGGTGATGTCTCTCATGCTCACTTAGCTAATGACTCCAATTAAAGTAATTAAGAGCTGGCACGCTGAAACCTGCTAGACCGCCCGCTGCCAAACCATCCATTCCCCTTCACCGCCGCCCACCTCGGCTAGTACCACTACATACAAGTACAACCATCCATTGCACTGCTTTACTCTCCTTCCTTTTTCTTAATCTTTCTCTCATGGGCACCTCACTCTCTCCCAGCCACAGCCGTTCTGTGCGCCTCTGCTCCTGCTCTGGCCTTTAAAGAAACATGAAGCCTAAAATCAGCTAAACGCTCCACTCCAGAAGCACTTAAGAGACCCTCAGCTCAACTTATTGTCACAGAGACAGCTACGGAAGGGAAAGAGCGGAGGCCGGGTCCGGCAGGAGAAAGAGGGGAATAAAAGAGGGAGAGGGGATGCAAGCCAGGTCTTAACGAGGGTAGAGATAATTGTTTTGTTTTGTTAGGGGCCCTTCTTCAGCGTGGAGGGAGTTGAAATGACACGCCACACATGGTTTTTGGATGAAGTGGGCAAAGGGAGGGGTGGAGGGCTTGATGCAAGAGTGGTGAAAGTGAAGAGGAGGGGGCTGCACCACAGAAAAAGCGCTCATACGTAGCACGGCTTTAAAAAAGGGTCTAACATTACAATGTTCTACATGTCCTTTACCCTCACAAATTCCAATGAAACTTTGCTTATGGTCACGCACATTTTTGTCTCCCACTTACGGAACCTCTAGAAGATTTCAATGTCAAAATACACATTAATCACAGAGAAGTTCAATATCACAGTCCACAAATTCCAACAGTGGGAAAGATCGCAGCGGGCCAAGCTGGAGACAACACTTTGGCTACCAGGCCTGGTCAGATTTATCAAAATGTATGAAACGGCAAACATATGAATCTCTGGTGTCTTGATGTTCTTTCAACACTTGGATTCGCAGACTGATAGTTGATGTGCCTGGATTTGTAGCTGGCATGGCAGTGCAAACACATTTCCAGAATCTGATGTGAGAAATAGACTTTGATGTGAACCCTGGATTTACCTCCCTCTGTCTTCCTCATGTGTCCGTCTACTCCGGCCCAAAACCCTTTATATTTTTCTTTAACGTTTGATCAGAAGCAGAAGTGAGAAGTGCTATAGTGGCTTGCTATAAATTATTAAATACACATAACATTTCTTAAAGATAGGCTGGATAAATGTTCTGTCCTTCACATAGTGACACATTGAGAAAGCGTCACTGGTGACATTCAAGGAAGCAGACGCCTCGTGAATACCACCATCATCAAAATTACAGCTGAGCACACTTTGGTAATCTGGCGTCTAACAGCATCATCAAATTATCCTGGTGGACAGTCTCTTTGAGCCAGGCCTGCGAATCAC